TCTCTGGCCCTGCTCCAGCACCTCAGTATCTTTCTTCATCTGGTTCCTGAGTGAAAAATCAGTTGGATTTTAGTTTGTTATTCTGAAAATGCGTTTGGTTATGATGGCAATTTTATTGTTTTGGTCATAAATGTCAAGTTTAGCACTGAGAATGTTTGTCTACAGCCTTTGAGGGTAGATTGCAGGTTGTGATGATGATCTGAGTCACAGCTAGGGAACGATTCTGTCCATAAGCCACTGTCATGGTTTAAGCCCAGCTGGTAACTCAGGACCATGCAGCCGCTCACTCACCCTCTGTTTCCCCTCTCCCTGGATGGGATGGGGGGGACAATCACAGGAATGTAAAACCCATAGGTTGACATAAGAACAGTTTAATAACTAAAGTACAATAGAATATATCAATATAGAACATAAAACTAAAAGGAGAAAGGGAAGAGGAAAACCCCATGAACACAAATGATGCACAATACAATTGCTCACCACCCGCCAACCAATACCCAGCCTGATGCAAGCAGTGATCCAGCCCTTCGGGGTGACTCCCCCCGGTTTCTACATTGGGCATGACGTGCTGTGGTATGGAATACCCCTTTGGCTAGTTCGGATCAGGTGTCCTGTCTCTGCTCCCTCCCAGCTTCCCATGCCCCTCCTCACTGGCAGAGCATGAGAGACTGAAAAGTCCTTGATCAGGGTAAAAGTGCTACTGAGCAACAGCTAAACCATCTTGTTATCAGCATTGTTCCCAGACTAAAGCCAAACACAGAAATGCATCAGCTACTACAAAAAAAATTAACTCTACCCCAGCCAAAACCAGGACAGTATCCACCTCTTATTCCATACTTTCTGTCCTTGTTCTTCAGCTGTGGGAGCATGGGATGGATGCTCATGCTTCATCCCTGCTGGATGGCCGGGAGCAGGCACTGGACATGAGAGGCAGCACGCAGCTGTAATTTTAGTTGGGAAAGCCAGGACCAACATGGTGATGTTTCAGTGAGCATCAAAAAATACCAGCACCAAATATCACATAGCTTAAGAGCTATAAAGGGTGAAATAAACACCACAGAACCAACACTGGTGAAGACCAAGAATTAATGAGCTCCTTAATGAAACACTGGGCCTCATATACCCCAGGTAACACCCACAACCCCTCCCACAGTGCCCTCGGGCAGGGGTGGGGTGAAGCACCAGGAGGGATAAAAGGAGCAGGATGAGAAATGGCCACTTTTCTTTAATGCTTTATGTCTGTAACATTCAAAGGGTTGAAGAGAGAAAATGACCATTTAGTAAACCTGAAATACCAGGCTTTTGTCCAGGACTATGGCTGCTGCCTCAGGAATGTGAAAGGAAGGTTTAAAAACCTTCGAGGATGATCTACAGGAGCTGCTCGGTGTCATTGAGGACTGGCTGCCCCCAGGCTGTTCACCTTCATCACGGAGGAAATACACATACATCCTTTATGTGTGAGTGACCAGAGCTGGTCTTGCTCACATCAGAGCTGCCCAGGGAAACACACACAGACCCTCCTGACCACCCCCATAAACAGCTGCCTCCAGGACTTGGGGATACAGCCCCTCAGGGCCAGCAGGGACCTGTCCAGCACCAGTTCCCGTTGTGCCAGTGGGGCTGCCCCATGCTGCTGGGCCCTGAAGCATAAACATGAAGTCTGCCCCTGCCTGGGCAGCACTCTGCTTCCCCACCACCGGCATCCCCCTGCCATGCCCTGCACACCAGAAGGCTGCGGCAGGGGCTTGGCTATGGCAGAGTCCGAGACTGGAAACCCAGGAGGGTCTGCAGGGTGTGAAATGCCCATGGAGGCTTGTGGTCCCCATATCGGAAGGAGGCTGCACCCCACGGCTGACCAAAGGGCTTTGGCTCTGCATCAGCAGCATCTTTGCAGTGAGAGCTGTCACTGTGTGGTTTTGGCAGGCAACCAGGTTCTAGTCAAGCTCACCAAGCAGCCCATCCACCAGAAGAAGCTAAAAGCAGCCTTGCCCAGGTTCCTCAAGCGCACGGGCTTTGAGATTTTGGACACTGTAGAGTTCCTATGAGGTGACGTGGAGCCTCACTGGAAGTACCTTAGAATGAATCAGGCTAAACAATCCAGCACTTCCAGGTGCTCCGTCCCCCTTCCCCTGTCATGCCCTTGGCCAGGGCACATGCTCTGTGTGTGACTGCACTATGCTCTGCATGCAGGCTTGCAGTGGAGGCCCTTTGTGATCTGATCTGTGCTGCTGGCTATGAAGAGCAAGTCCTTAACATGCAGAAGGAGGGTAGCTGGGACATACTTCTTGGAACTGATGCCCACCAGAGAGGACTCTCTGTAGAAGGATCATGCTGTGTCAGGCCAGTGAACTTGGTCTGTGCAGAGGGGTGCAAGGAGCCAGGCAGTGGGGCCAGTGTGTGCCAGCAGCTCCCTGCCTCTAGGACCAATCCCAGCCTGTCCCCTTGGGGAACCTCTGTTCTGCCAGCACACAACTGCCACTTCAGCAGGGAGAGAAGGAGGCAACAGGCTGGGAGCCCCAGCTTGGCAGGGATGATGCCCTGGCACTCTGCTTGTTCCAGCAGCAGCAGCACTGACGAACCTGCCGGCTTCCAGTCCCTCCTGTCACCTACACAGAGACACTATTTTGAAGTGATGACAGCAGCATCTTTAGCCTGATGGCTTTGTCTCCAGTGCCAGTCTTGAGTTTCTCTCAAGCACAGAGAGGCTGTCACAGCAGAGGAAGTTATTGCTTGGTCCAGAGCTACTTTTTAGCACAGAGGTAAGGTTTTGGCAAGAAACCTACAAAACCCTAATATCTTCCTTGTCTTCCTGTAAAGCCCTGCTGCTCTTTACAGAGGAGCTGACCCTGGGCAGAACTGTCTTTCACAGGCACCTCCTGCTTGCCATGAGCTCACTCCATCCCAGGACCCCAGCCCAGCTCAGAAGCACAGGATCAGCCCAAAGTATCACTTTCTCTGCCCCTTCTGGGCTCCCTCAAGGATCCTCTGGGGCTCACTAGGTTAGTGAGGCATGGGTTTGCCCTTGGTGAGCCCATGTTGGTAGTCTCTAATCACTCCCATGCTTGGAAGTTTGCAGCACAGCGGCTGAGAATAGCGTCACTTCTCAGGACAAATCTGTCCCACTTCTATTTAATCCCTGCCCTCATTTTCTTGGCTTCGCAGCACTGAAGAAGCAGCCCTCAGGGAGGCTGAGTGTGAAAAGAGTTGCCTTAACATTCCTGGGCTACTTATCTTTGGTGCGCTTACCTTAAAGGTGCATTGGGGTGGGAGTGGGGACAAAGCCTCCCTGGGTGCCTGCCCTCTCATACCCCCAGAGCAGTCACAGTGAAGGGTGTGCTTTTTAATGTCAGTTATAATAAAATATTTTTACAGAGCCCAAAAAATTCAAAATAGTGCAAAACATCTCACTGTCATGCATCCATGGAAAAAGTACAATACATCTCTGTTTCTTGCACCCGTGGGAGCCGCCGCCGGCAGTGCCGCGCGCGGTCGTACAGACACACAGGCATCGGTGACACATGTGCTACAGGAGCAGAATTTGTTGGTTCAATCACATGCCGAACAGGACAGGTCAGGGAGGGGGCAGGGGGCTGGGGCACCATGGTTGGGGGGGCACAGGGCTGAGCCCCAGCCTCGTTGTGCGGGAGTGGTGGTTAGAAAAGGGCTGTAAACACTGAAGAGTAACGAGAGAGGAAAGCTAAACCCTTTGGTCCCAGGCAAACCCTATAGAAAAAGGACCATGGGGGCCAGTTGGGGTACCCTGTTTTGGGATGGAGAGGGGACTTGAGCTATATTGACTTGTGGGGTCATCAGGCCTCTGTCTTTCCCAGTACTTAGAGCCAGCTGGGGTGGCCATCCCCAACACTGCTCATCCCAACCTCCCAGGCACTCGCACGACACACACTCACACCACGTATCACACAGAAATGGTGGTTATGGGGAAATTGAGGGGCAAGGGGTCCTCTGGGCTGGGGGTGGGAAGGGTCTTTCTTGCACCAAGGAGGTCTCATGGGCACTGCTGCACTGCACAGGCACGGCTGGACCCCACTTGGCCAGAGCAAAGGGAGACAGGTCCCTCTACTCCAGCACTCCCAGCCCTCGCCCCCAAGCCCTGGCACCCTGGGGGCAGCAGTGGGGCAGCCCATGGTGGCTGCAAGGCAGGGGAGGACGGGTACAC